GAAATTAGGTATGGACCAACATCTTATACTGTATACCAAGATAAGGTCAAAATGAATGCATGATTTAGACATAAAGTGATATCATAAGCAAATGAGGACAGCAAGGAATAGTTTACCTGTCGGATCTATGGAGAAGGGAAGGTCTTACCAGATCTTTTTAGTAATTATCTTCCTCTTCATCTTCTATTAATGTTTCATATATCTTAAAAACATAGCTACTCTTCAATACCCACCCACCCTTCCTTTTTTCTTTTTGCTTTTTTTTTTTTTGCTTTTTTAGGCAATTGGGGTTAAGTGACTTGCCCAAGGTCACACAGCTAGTAAGTGTCAAGTGTTGGGTCTGAGGCCAGATTTGAACTCAGGTCCTCCTGACTTCAGGGCCGGTGCTCTGTCCACTGTGCCACCTAGCTGCCCCAACCCTTCCTTTTTTCAAAGAAATTTTTAGAATGTATAATCTATCCTTTCATCTCCCACTTTTCCTCCACACATTCCTTTCTTAATCTTTTGCAGTCAAGATTATTCTCTACTGCTTCACTAAACCTGAACTTTTAAAGGTTGGCAATGACCACCTCCTTATTTAATCTGATGGGTTTCCCCTCCCCCCCTTATTCAGCATTCTTCTCAGATCCTGTGTAATATTTTACTTTCTTTCCTTGGCTTCCTGAAATTTCACTTTACTGTTGCTCCTGCTTTTGTGATTGCTTCTTCTCTCCTCCCTTTACTGGGTTCTGTTCCTTCTCCTTCCCACTATGATGGCCCCCATGTTTCTGATATCTTCTCTTCCTAATCTTCCCTCTGTCTCACTTACTTGGTAAACTCATCCATTGTTATTATTTCAGTTCACCTCCATATGAATGATTCCCAAATGTGTGTCTCCAGATTAGTCACCACCTTGCCTCCAATCAAGATTTCTCACTGCCTACAGAACATCTCTGCTTGGCAGGGGCAGCTATGGGGTGAAAGGGCAGGGATTGGAGCCAGGACAACCTGAGTTTGAATACTGTCTTCAACACTTACTGGCTGTGTGACCCCCAAGCAAATAACTTAAACTCTCTCAGCCTCAGATCCCTGCAAAATGTGATGATAGTACCTATTTTACAGGGTTATTTTCGGATTATATAGTTAACCTATGCAAAGCACTTTACAAATGTGAAAGTGCATGTAAATACTAGCTGTTATTATTATTATCATAGCTTGCTGCAAACTCCAAATCATTATTATGTCCTAAATTAAATTTGTCATCTTTTCTGAAACCAACTACCCTTTATATCTCATTTAGCTCATTGGCCCCCTCCTCTTTCTGGTCTTCTAGTCCAGCAAATTTCATATAGTGTCTTTGACCTTTCCCTCTTCTTCCCCTTGAACTAATCCCAGGTCTTCTTGTTTCCTTCCTTGAAATATCTCATAAATTTGTACTTCTTTCTTTATTCCTTCTTATGCTAGTCCAGGCTGTCATCATTTCACATTTGGATTATTACAACAGCCTTCTTATTGGGGATGCTGACTCTAGTTTCTAGTCTGTCATTAATATGACTTCAACATAATCACCCTAAAACATTCACTCACCCTGCTAGTCAAGGAGCTCTGATGGTCTCCTGTTGTATATGATATTGAGTCTAAACCGCTCTGTTTGACTTTCATATCCTCCATAAAATGGCCCTGGCCCATCTCTTCAGTGTTGTTCACAACTAAACCCCAATATCTACAGTCACTCTTGTCAGACAAGTCTCTTCACTATCTCCCATTAAGAATAATTATTCTTGCTTGCATGCCTCTGTTTATGCTATTCATTCTAGATTGAGTGTTGAGCCTTCTCTCCTTTGCCTGTATAAGACTAATTTATCTTTAAGGACCAATTCAAATTATACCTTATCCTTGAAATATTCTTTGACTTCTCCAAACTTCCTTACCTAATTTCATTCTGTAATTATCTCCAAATATTTTTATTAAATATCTTTATTAGTAAAAATAATTTTGAGCATGTACTTCAAATATGTGTATATTTGTAAATTATACTCATGTACCACTATACTAATTATTATATATTATAAAACTTGCATAAAATTAGAAGTTTTTTGAATAATGAGATACAGATGAAATATTTGAGCCTAGATTCAATAGGGAGCCACTAGAGTTTATTGAGAAGGGAAGCGATACAACAAGTTCTGCACTTAAGGCAAATTTCTTTGGCATCCTCCAAATGGATTGGATTGGAGAAAAAAAAACTCAAGGGAGGGAGACTGAAAGTCTATTGCAGTAGCAGAGGTGAGAAGTAATAACAGCTTAAATTAGGGTGATGGCTGTGTGAGTAGAGAGAAGGAGTCATATACAAGAGATGTTGTTGAGCTAGAAATAGCAGGACTTGGGTACGATTATGTATATGGGTGAGTAAGAGTGAGAAGCTGAGGATGACTCCAAGGTTGCAAGGTAAGTGACTGGAAGAGTAGTGGTCTCCTCAACAGAAGTAAGACGTTCAGAATAGAGATGGGCTTGAGGGGAAAGGTAATATAATAAGAGCTGAATGAAATGTAAATCTTACTCCATCCATCCCATGTCTGATCCACTCTATCTTACTGACAGCAAAAGGGGTAGAGGTAGGGCTCTTTACTACCTGTGGTACTCCCCACACCTACAAAGTAATCTGGGAGATGGGTGGAGAATAGAATTTTGCCTGGGTCATGACCAGAGAGTTATTGTCCTGAAGGGCTCAGCTAGCAGAACCTAGCAGGGGAGGGGACGAGAGTTGAGTATATTAAGTGATGATGGGTGAAGTGAAGGGTGTTGGAGACAAGCCCATTACAGACTGATTGATGTGCCATCTGCAGTATCCCTATGGCTCCAGGGCTCCAGTTATGTCATTTAAAAGGATATCGTGGCTTATTCATTTTAAGTTTTAGCCCATTCTTTCAGCATAAACATTAATTTTCTTGGCAGCCCAGAAATCCTACAGCAGTAAAAACCATGCTTTGTTGGCAGACTAATGGTGTTTTAATGAGCCATTTGAATCACGAGGATAGACTGTCAGAGCTGTTGGATCAAGACTATGCTACAATGCATTCTTAGACCTTAGAGCTGACAAGCCAATTTGTCTGAAAGAAGTAAAAGTAGTTGTTTTTGACACTTTTCTTTGTGTTCTCCTCTCCTGGGTGTTGTAGCCAGACAGATGAACCAAACCTACTCCAGCCATCAAGAGACAACAATCACCCTTGCATCCTTGTGGATGTACTTTTGTTAGGAGACAAGGCCAACTAAATGTCAGTCTTAAATGAAGATACCCAGTAGTAGCTGAAAAGAATAGGAGTATGCTCTTGGCAAATTTAAGAGCAACATTTCTGACAGTTGAGTTTGCAGAAAAGAGAAAGGTGGCTTTGAACTGAAAGAGTAGATGGGATATATAGTGATGAGTGGTTGTGACTTACCTAGAAAGCCATACCTGTGATGAAAAAAAGTTTGACATTTTTAAGTTGCTTTGCGTCCTTGTTTTCTATATTATGAAAACTATCATTTTTCCTTTAGCATATGGTTGGAAAATAACATTTATTTCACAAAAATCTGACATGCACACAATTTTTTAGGGATAGTCTATTGTGTAAAGAAAGGTACACTTATAAAAAAACTTACTCTATTAATTAGGGAACTTGATTAAGTGTCATTTGTACTGTCTTCTAGAAGTTTTCTCTCTCAAGAAAGATGACCTTTAACCATAAGTATTACAATGAACAGAGAGCTTCTGTCTAACAGTATGAGTAATTAATGAATAAAAATTACAAGCATTAGACTTTCTATGCTAGTATATACACATTTACCAGAACACTGATGTGAAGAAACATACCAAAAGAATTTTCGACAAACTCAACACAATGCTACCAATATTGTTGGTTCAAATCCCAGATCTGCCACTTAAGTAAATCACTTAAAATTTTTGTGAAAAGAAGGTTGTCTTCATCAGATTCCATCTCCCTTTTCCAGTTATAGTATGATCATACTGTAATCCCCTGGCCCCTCAAAAGAAAAACAACCCACTTCATCTTGGTTCTGCTATCATGAAGGAAACAAACAAACTCATTCAGAATGAAGAATTCCTGGTACTCCCAAGTGCACTGCTCTGTTTTCATTTTAAAAGAGGACCATTCGAAGAGATTTAATTTTAAGGAATAGATTTCCAATAATGGAATTTTAATGGGGCTATTTGGGGCAGAGATCTTCCCAGGTCACTTTAAATAACCAGGAAACATGTGACAGTATAGTGGGGGTGTTTAACCTGGCTAAGAGAAAGTAGGGGGAGGGGGAAGACGATAGTTATATCAAAATGCTGTCATTTGAAGGAAGGAATTAAACTTGTTCTGGACCCTGAAGGGCAGAATTAGGGAGCAATGAGTGGAAGCTGCAAAGAAGCAGTTTTATGTTCTATATTAAGAAAAACCTCCAAACAGAGCTGCCCAGAAGCAGAATGAGCTGTCTCCCAGAGGTAATGGGGTCCTCTACATTGGATATCATCAAACAAAGGCTGGATGACCTTGTCAGGTGTGGTATAGAGAAGATTCTGGTTTGGGTCCAGGGCAGATAAGGGCCATTCTGATTGAGAGTCTCTGATATCAAACAAGGTGATTATGCCAGAAAGAGATAGAAAAAATCAGTAACATAAAGTAATCCATTCATTTGATAATGATTCCCCAAATAAAAGTTCTCTGTACATCTTTTTTCTATTAGACTATTGTTAATCAAAATATTGTTATTTTGATATTAGCATAATAGTATTTGTGGCCATTCTCTAATGACTATGCAGTTTCTTTCAACTTTTCTTTTTTAATCAAGGCAAGAGCTATCTTATAATTGGACTCAATACTGTTATTAAGGCCACTAAAAAATAAAATGTTAGTAGGCCCTACACATTATATTACAAGGGAGTAGTAGTGATTAAAAATATCAACGGTGATGGAAAATGTTGAGTTCCTTTGCTTGCAGTTTTTGGCTTATTTATTTTAATTTTATGGGAACAGGATTGTCGACTTTAAACCCATCTGGCTCTAGCAGAGGAAAAGAAAGGAAAAGCAGGAAGTCCATTTTTGGCAACAATCCGGGCAGATTAAGCCCTGGGGAGACAGCAGCATATACCAAAACATCTGGAAAAAGTAAAGTCAGCTTCTTACCAATATCTTTACTTGATTCTGTATATTGGATGGATCAAATGTTTTCCTGTTGGTAATCTTCACTTGAATGTTTAAATTGTTTTTTGTAATGGATGTTCATGTAGCCTACTGTAACTGAGTAATAATAAGCAAAAAAAAAAAAAGTAAAATGGTACTCATATTGCAAACCACCATTTTGCAATTTTAATTTCTGGAGAATCATGATAATTCACCAGAGACGTTTTAGCAGCATTTTCTGAAAACAACATCAGAAAACTCTTTCAGTTTAAAGAAAACCCTGGTGGTTCCTCTGTGAATTATAATCCTCACTTCATGTAATCTCCCCAGAAAATGCCAATTTGAACATTTTTATCGTCCACCATTTTCTTCAAGATAACAAATTAACCCACCAATAGACTTCGAGTTGCATTTTGATACTTTTTATTAATGTACCCAATTTTATTCAAATTGGACAACTACTTCAAAGTTTATTTCAAACAAACAAACCTAAATGCTAGGCATTTCATGACATTTGGCAAAAACAAAACGAAAAAACTTACACTGTATTTCTTGTAGCTTGTTAGAATTATTCTAAATCTCCTACCGGAGTAAAAATTTATTTCAGAATGTAAAAGAAAACTTCTGTTTAGTCAGTATACTTACTTGTACTGTGGCACCAAAGACCTCTTGTACCTCATGGCCTCCATTTCTCTTCCATCAGCGAGTCCCCAGACTTAACTCATTTGTGTCCCTACTGGCTTCTCACTGCTAACATTTTTCCTTTTGTTCTTAGTTGTGTTGCTGTTGAGTCATTATAGTCGTGCCCTACCCGTTGTGACCCCATTTGGGTTTTCTTGGCAGAGATACTGGAGTGGTTTGCCATTTCCTTCTCCAGCTCATCTTACAGATGAGGAAATTGAGACAAACAGGGTTAAGTGACTTGCCCAGGGTCACCCAGCTAGTGTCTGAGGCTAGATTTGAGTTTAAGAAGACGTCTTACTGACTTGAGGTCCAGTACTCTGTCCGCTGCACCGCCTAGCTGCCCCTCTTAGTTGCTTACCAACTTGCTTTTTCCCACAGAAGAGAATATAGATATAGTCTTTTTCATCTCTCCTTAATTGCTCCTTATAAGCAATTTGTTATCCTTTTTTTAGTTTAGTTTTTTGGGTTTTTTAAGGATTTTACTAGTAGGGCCTACACTTTGAAAATTCTGTTAGTTCTCCAACATGGACTCTCCCTTCATCCGTCCTTTTCTACTCCCCGCCTTCCCCTAAATGAATTTCATGAGTTGCCAGCCAACAAAAAATAAAAATAAGAATAAGAATTACTCTTCAATGATGTCTCTCTCCAAATTTAGCAAGTCTGTCACTGTGCCTTTTCAGTTGAATAAGCCCTCCCAAGCTCACACTCCATTGGCATAGACTAAAAGAACCCAGGTCATGGTCACACCATAATGAGCTGTTGGAGTAGAGCTTTAGTAGAGGTTACTACAAATATTGTAGGAAAACTTGTAGAGAATGTAACACCAAATGAGTCTAGCAAATCACTCAGGTTAAAAGATGAGACCTTTTGTAGGGACTTTGAGTGTGCCTCCTTCACAGAGCTTGAATTTGTCCCCTAGGTAAGTATGCAGCATCCTCATTGGTTAATATTGGCATTATATTATATCATGCCATATTATGTTGTTATCACATTATAGCTCTGAGCAGCAACCTGGACCTGTAAAAAAGAGCGAATAGAAATGCTAAAGACTGGAGAGAGATCCAGAGAGAACTGAATCAGAACAGAGTCCTGAGGAGTGCAAGCTCATATTGGAGGAAGGAAGGGGATGAAGCTTGTATAGCTAAATTGAATTGAACTGATGGGGACTATGCTTATAATTGAAGTTCCAAAGTCATCATCTTTTAACCTTTTTAAGCTACTCAAGCTTACCTCTTGGTCATATCTCCTGTACATTCAGGGGCCTGAAATAATAATAGAAAATGAAGAGCAGGTTTAGAGAAGTCCCACAATTAATCAAGCTCTCGGGAACCGGCCCTTAATCTTTCTTGGTTTACTTTTCTTTGTTTGGCTATCCTTTTTTCCATATTTTGTACTTAGTTAACCAGCCCACTCCTTTCTGGGCTGAAATGTGGCATCAAGCTCTAGATTTCTGATTGAAGTAGAGTTGTCTGGCACAACGGTTAGAATATGATTCTCCAACCTTAGCTGTAAGTATGGAGCCTCCAGGATGGCAGGGATTATCTGTCTCTGCTGCTCTTCCTCCCCAGTAAATCCTCACAGGGACTTCACATCTGCTGGATTTTCAACAAAAACCTTGTAGTCAGTTACCTTCCTCCTGAGTTATCTTACTGAACAATGACTTACAGAAGAGTTGTCTTTGCCCTGAGATAGCTTAGATAAGAAAGAACCTATTCTAATAGACTTCTAACATCTTCCCCTAGGCTTCAACATCCTGCCCTTATCTCTTAAAGTTTTCTCTCCTTAAGAGACTAGCCCCATAGATATTCATCTCTGTCTTCCTCTCCCTTCCTTTCTTTCCATCTCCTTCTCCCCCCACCCCCTCCTTCCCTTAAGGTCACATTTCCATGATGCCTGTCCTTCAGCTTTTAGACCTGTTCTGTTCCCCAGTCCTAATAGACCTGACTTTCTACCCCCAGTAGACCTCCATTGGAGTTCTTGGTGGGATGCCCTGGCTTCCTAGTTCCTTGGCATAGCTGAGATAAATGATATGCCCTGGATTTTGGCTGAGGCCTCCAAAAGAACCCTGTCATAGCTGTTCCCTAAATTATCTTGTATTTTGTTATCTCTTCCTAATGTTGTATCCCCTAGTAGAATGTGAGCTCCTTGAGGCCAGTGACTGGTATGGTTTTTTTAATCTGTATAACCCCACACCCAGTACAATACTTTGAACACATTAGGTTAATTATTAGCTTAATAAAGGCTCACATAAGTGAATGGAACCAATGCATATCTGACACCTTCTCCGCACCCACTTCCCTCTGCAACTTACTTCCCTGTTCTTATTAGTAAATCACAGTTTATGTCCCTTGCCCAAGAGGATAGTTCACTAGAATTCAGGTTTACACACACACACACACACAATAGATATAGATATAGATAGATAGATAGATAGATAGATAGATAGATAGATAGATAGATAGATAGACAGACAGACAGATAGATATCTCTTCAACTTTCCAAATAGTATCAGACATTACATCCCTCAGTATGGACAGGGTCATGGCGTCACAGTACAAACCAGTATACCTGTATAAGAAGAACCTAAGTTGACTTGGAAATTCTGCAGTTCTTTCATGTGAGCCTTGGGCAGTTATGATTTCACATTGTCATTCAAATGGATTCATGGTTCTGATCTTTGTGGGGCTTTAGGTTCCTTTGATGGCACGCGGCAGACCTGGGAAGAGGTTTGTTCTCTCAGCACAGCCCCGTCACTCAGCGCTATCATTAGGACGCCAAAATGCTACCACATCTCGTCCCTGAATGAGAATGCTGCCAAGCGACTGTGCCGCCGGTATTCCCAGAAACTGATAGAGCACACCGCCTGCCAGCTGCTGAGAACATACCCTGCTGCCACACGCATCGACTCTTCCAACCCCAACCCCCTCTTGTTCTGGCTGCATGGGATACAGCTGGTCGCACTCAACTACCAAACAGACGGTAAGGCTGGATGGATTCAGTGTGACTGCTTTATTACCGATTCTGTTTGATACTAGTTTGTAAACATAAATAGATGAAGTGCAGCATAGGATACAAGGGTATGGAATGAACATAAAAAGTCAAATGCCGTGGAGCCCATCATGATACTTTGTCTCTCAGCTCCTGGTTTTTTTCACTGACTCCCCCTCATTCCTGGAGTGCTTGCCCTCTTAGGATCTCTGGTTTCCTGCAAAACCTAGACCAGGCACTCTTTACATAAATCCTTGCCTGACCCCAACCCTCCTTCCCCTTCCCCTCCAGCCATTAGTGCCTCCTTTTCCAAAACTCAGTTGTGTTAGCTTCATCTGAATTCTGTCTGTGCATGTTATGGATGTGTGTCATCTCCCCTGCAAGAGCATGAGGACAGGGGCTGCTTCCCTGTTGTCTTTATATCCCTGGCACTCAGCACAGGTACTTCAAAGGCACCTGATGAATGCTTGTTGATTGATTGATTAAATGGTAGGAGGATACTGGTTTATAGTAGGGAGAATGATATTTTGGATAAATCGTTGGTGTTAAGCTCAAGTGTGATGATAGAATCAAAGAGAAGTTGTAGAATCATGGAAAGGCCCACATGTGGTTGTCTGGTTCTGATCCCTGTTTCAGGAATACTTATTCCTAAAACCACTGGAGACAGATAGGGTTGGTCCTATTTGTAGATATTTGTCAGGTAGGAATCTCATACCATCCCAGTCCCCTCTATTAGAATCCCTGCCTTTATGTAGCTTCATAAGGTTTACCAAGTGCTTTCATCACAGCAGTTCTGGGAGACATCATGTTCCAAGAGTTCAGTGGATCTGTGATCCCATCAGTGTGGCAGTAAGAGAGATGACAAAGCATGCTTGCTTTCTCATCGTGAGCAACTTGGTGTCCTCCCTTTAATCTCCCACCCACAGTCCTGGGGCACCTTCTTCTATTTTCTTGATATGGCATGAATACAAATGGAAAACATGTACTGTCTGCTGATTACACGTTGTTCCTTGATGCCTTCACATGATGTGTCATGCTTGCAGTAAGTAAATTCCTTCTGCGCAATCAAGTTTTTTTCCAAGTAGGCCCATTTTTGTTGATTACCTTGGAGATTGAAGTAGTCATTGTGCTCCTGATCACATTAATAAAACATTCTATAAATTAAGGAATGAGTGGTAGGAGACATTTTTGCCAGTTTTACATGATGCTGAAAATAACAAATGATGCTTAAAATTCTTTGTCCATATTGATTTTTATAAGCTCCTAGATTCCAGGTTCAGTGACAGAATCACAGAATTTGAGAATTGGAAGAGACCTTAGCAGCCATCTAGTCAATCAATCAACATTTATTAAGTGCCTACCATGTGCCCGGCACTGGGAAGTAAATAAATTAAAAATAAATGAATGAATAGACAAAATTTTAAATAAGACAGGCCCTGCCTTCAGGAGTTTACACTCTTATGAGGGAAGATAACACATGTGGTGGAAAAGCCAGAGAAGCCCCAAAGCAGCCCAGCCAATACAGATAAAGAATCCCCATCACCACATATCTTACAAGTGGTACTCCAGTCTGTGCTGGAGGACATTAGAGAATCCACCAGGGCCTGAGGCTGGTCAGTCCACTTGTGGACAGCTCTTGTCGTTGGGAAGATTTTTCTTGACGCCCAGCCGACACTGTGCTCTTTGCCTCTTCTACCCATTGCTCCTCCTTCAACCCTATGTGACCAAACAGAGCAAGTCTACTCTCCTCAACATGAAGCCCTTCAGCTCCTGAGGACAGCGATCACATCCCCTCTGGGACTCCTTTTCTCCAGGCCAAGCTGTCCTGGTCTTTCAGCCTCAAGGCCCTTCACTACCGGTTTATCTGGTTGCCCTGTGCTGGACATTAGCGCTCAGACTTTAACACACTACTCCAGAGGAGGTTTCACAAAGACAGTATGATGGGATGATCACCACCCTTTTCCTGGAAGTATCTGTCTTAATGTTGCCAGAGATTGTGTTAACTTTATTGATGGTCACTTCACACTGTTGACTTATCATTGAGCTGGCAGTCCACTAAAGTCCCCAGATCTTTTAAAAATAAACTGCTAACCATCTTGTACTTGTGAAATTTATTTTTTAACCCAAATATGAGATTTTACATTTATTCCTATTGAATTTCGTCTTATTAGATTCAGCCCACTGCCTTTTAAGATCCTTTTGAATCTTGATTCTGTCATCCTGTGGGTGAGCTGTTTCTCCTAGCTTTGTGTCATCTGCAGATTTTGATGAGCATGCTATCGATGCCTCAAGTGAATGACAAAAATGTTAAAAAGCACAGGGCAGAGCATGGATTCTTGGGGCACTCAACTGGAGACCACCTGCCATGCTGGCATTGAAACATTCACAGCTACTTTTTGAGTGTGACCATTTAGACATTTCTAAATGCATCTGACTGTGGTCTCATCTAATCCATAACTGTACCTTTTCCACAGAAACAGTATCAAAAAACTCACTAAGATCTCAGGAGACTATATTCATAGCATTTTCCTCTTCTAATTGCATTTTTAGGCAATCTCTGTCTTTATCGGATGTTTTGCAGAAATCCAGGTAAACTATATCTGTGATATCCCCTCATCTACCAGGTTAGTCACCCTTCCAAGGAATGAACAAAGGTTAGTTTGTGGTGCTGTGTTTTTGATGAAGTTGCACTAGCTTCATGTAGTTATCCCGTCACTTTCATCTCTTTAACGGTCTGCTCCAGAATTTACCCAAGTACTGGAGTCAAGCACACGGGCCTGTAGTTAGCAGAATTTGTTCTCTTCCGTGTTTTGAAAATTTGACAGAATTTTCCCTGCTCTCATCTTGTAGTGCCTCCCTCATTTTCCACAAAACATGTCAGTCACGTCTGCCAGCTCTTTTGTCACCTGATGAGATGGTTCCTTAGCGGAGCAGGTGACTTGGATTCTTCAAGGGCAATAACCTCACTTATCTTGGGGATCAAGTCCCTATTGACCCTTGTTTTTTCTTAGCAGAGAAAACAAACAAAATACAATTGAACAGCCCAGCCCTCATACTCTGGTCACTTAACGTTGTCCCACCTGCTGCAAGGAAAGGAAGCTCTCTTCCTGAGCTTCCTTTTCTTCCCAGTATCACACACATGCACAGCTGTTTTGTTATCCCTCATTTCCTCTGGCAGCCTCACCTTCCATTGAACATTCGTATCCCTGACTGTTTTTACAAGATCATGCTACACTACTACAGTAAAATTCTGTCATCTGCCCTTGCTTCCATCAAATACTTTTAAAAAAATCTAAGTTGGTGGCTGAGTCCCTTACATCTCTACATAGGTATCTTCAGGCAAATCTTCTTTTCCTCAGAAATGAAATTGTTTCACCTCGTGTGTTCAGAATTTTTATGTGTTTTATGTATTTTTATTTACATCTTTCCTGGGCTTATTTCCCCTATAAAATTTTAGTCCATAGGATGCTGCTTGTCTTTTCTCAGAACCCCTTGAAATCTTGTTTTCCCAAAATCTAACATTTATATTCATGCCCAGATTTCTACTCCTTTTCTATCGTTAACTCTAGAAGAAAGTCATCACTTCACCCCTGTTCCCATCTAGCAACTGGTTCCTCTCAGCTAATTAGAATCAGACCCAAAACAAAATTTCACCTTATTATTTCCTCCCCGTATTGGAGGATGAAATTGTCACCAAGACAAGGCAAAAATGTATTGCCTTCTCTACTGTTGGCAAAATCTCACTGCAACAAAAGTATAGATACCCCTATCACTGCCTATCATACCTCTGTACCAGGTGTATCAGGTTCCTCGATTCCTCCCCATCTATTTCCTCTCTCTTTAGGTGGCCTATAATATACTCCAGGGGCATAATCACTTCCTGTTTTGGTCCTCACGTCTACAGATAGCTGCCTCAGGGCCCTGGGCAGGAAATCACCAACTTCTCCTCCTCTTCTCTTCTTCCTCTGACCCTGAGAGCTTTAGTCTCTCTGCATCATCACTCTTGGGAGGACAGGCATCTTATTCCCAAGTGAACTTTTATTATCAGGTCTCTCCATCATTTTCTCCATGATCTAAAAAAAAAAAAAATACATACATATGCATATATGCACATGTGTATTTCTTCATGATAAAGATATTTTTAGACATTTTATGACATTTTTCCTCATAAGGCAACATGGTTCTTTGACACATAGTAACCATATGATCCTAGGCCTTTTTAAGCTAAGGCCTTTCCAGGTTCTTACTTTAACTGAGGCAACACCATTCAGTAATTAGGACTGTTTTCTCCTGCATCTAGGGCCATCTCTAGTCATCCTGATTGATATCTTGCCACTGGACCCAGATGGGTCTGAAGAAGAAAGTGAGGCTGGTGACTTTGCACAGTCCTCCCTCACTTAAATCTAGTTCACTTGCAAGTCATGGCAATATCTTCCTGATGTCATGGTCCTCTTTGAGAACAAAGGACAAACCACACACACAACTACACATGCTCCTAGGAATGTGACAACTCTGAGACTATAAATTGCAGATATAGAAGGAATTTCCTCACCTGAGAATCCCTTTGCCAGTAAAATCACAGTCCTAGTCTCTATTCCTTGTCCTTTCCCTCATAAAATATGTCTTAATTAAAATTCAAACTATTCCTTGATACTACACACATAACAAAGATACTTAGCACACATATGTACAATGGGGTTAAACTATAGTGAGTCACTATATAACTGAGTCAAAATAACTTACAGTTGGACTTCTGCCACAGAATCCTAACACTGAGTCATGGCTTCATGAAAATATGTTATCAGCATGACTTTATTCACAACTTACTATATGTCAAGAGAGAACACGTATTTTTGCTTTTATGGAATTGGATTATCAAAGTGAATTTGATATGTGACAAAATATTTACATTTTTCATTTCTTATATCTTTTGGCATTGATTCTGGGCTTGGTTTATACATTCTAGTTTTCAGGATTGATTATAATACTTT